GCCAGGAGCAGACCTACCAGGAGCTCAAGGCGATGCGGCTCAGCATGGAGCAACGGCTTCACGCGCTGTAGATCGCGGCCAAACCCCCAGCACCCAGCGTACGTGGTGGTATTCGCAGTTAGATCAACATCATCCAGGAAGCTCCGTCCGCTGCGCCGACACGGTCGGGGTCGCCTGGGGTGGCCCCCTCTGAGCTTGCCGAGCACTCGCAGGTCATGGTAAAGATAGACAAGGATGGGATACCTCACTTCCATCAACTGATAAGCAGGAATATCCTAGAAAGGGCAGAAAAGGCGCGCGTGGCCCTCAGCCGCGCCCAAGGATCCCTCCCCCTGGCTGCAATAAAAATCATTGCGGCGCGGCAACTCAGGTCAGGCGACTTAAGGCTCGACCTTCAATCCGCTGTAGAGGCTGAGGTTGCATAGAACCACCCTCTCTGGGCTCAACAACTCTGGAAGACCGCAACCATCCACATCCCCTCCTGGGGAGTGGTGGTACACGGGGTCCAGGTCAAATCAGTCGATCTCAGCAAGCCGGAAGGGGTCAAAACAGCTCACCGACAACGCCTTCCGTTGGGGGGACGCCACGATCACCTACGTAGGGTGGCTCACCGCTCCGCCCCGTGGCCCCCAGGGAAAGAAGTCGTCCACGCTGATAGTGGAGTTCACCTCTCCGATGGTGGCCAATACGGCGATCGACTTCGGGGTTCTATGGGGCTCAGAGTGTCTGGTGGCGGAGAAATATGATCGGGCTGCGCGCATTTGTCAATGCTACACATGTCAACAATTTGGCCACATAGGAAGCGTCTGCCAAAACAAAATCGTCTGTGCCCACTGCGCGGGGGATCACCTGGCTCATGAATGCCCGGGCAGGGCGGCTGGACAGCAGAGGGAACCGAAGTGCGCCAGCTGCGGGGGCGCCCACTACGCCTGGAGCAAACATTGTCCGAAGTACGAAGAGGAGGTTCAAAAGGTGCTGGCGAGGCTGGCCACCAGGCAACACCACAACCGGTACCACCCTGTCCCACCTCACTTCAAGACAGCGATCCCATCGATCACAGAAACAGCATCCATAAGCAACCAAACACAGGAACACACCTCCGGGGATAGCGGCCCTGGAGATGCACCTGCCGCACCGTCCGTCTAGTGGAGCCAAAGCAATTCCAACACTGAATCACACCCCACCCCCGCCGAAGCGACAGAGCAAGTCCGCCGAAGCACCCGGGGAACACAAAGGGCCAAGGAGCCCAACCAGATGGACATTGATAACACTCCGGTGGCAGAGGGTGCCGGAGTGGCGGAGTTGGAGGCAAGGGAGAGAGAGCTCACAGCCCGGGAGAAAGCCCAGAGGCGCCTCGAGGAGAGAGAGAAGGCGATCGCAGCCCGGGAGGCAGCGCTAAAACGGCTTGATGCGGAGGCAGAGGAGGCAGCCAGGAGGGGGAAGAACATCGCTGCCAGGGAAGCTGAGCTGGAGACCAGGGCGACGGAGGAGAGGGCCAAGGCCAGGAGGGCGGCCAGGGAGCGGGAAGACCAGGAGGCAAAGATAAGGGCCCAGATAAAGGACAGAGAGAGGGCCCTCAGGAAAGCGGAGGCCAAGATGGCGCGGGACGCGTTCCTCCGGGAACAAGTCAACCACCTAGTGGCCACGGAATCTTGCTTCGCGCTTGAAAGGACCCAATCAGACACGTCCGCGCGCACGCAGCGCGTGGAGAGAATCATTGAAGCCAACACTGCAACACCAGACGACGCAGCCGCCTCCGGAACCACTAACCCCCCGTCCAGCAGGACCCGAGCCAAGCGCCGGAAGGACCACCACGACACTAGTGCTGAGGAAGTCCAGCAAGCGGAACAGCCGGAGCAAGCCGAACAGACTGAGCCCTCCGACTCGTCCGCCACAGCATCGACCTCATCACTAAGCGACGCACCAACGGCCAGCTACCAGCCGAGCACTAGAGCCGGAGCCAGCAGGAAGCGGACCTACGACGAAATGTCGGACAGCAGCCGTCGCCTAGCATCGGTGTCAAGCAGACGCACCCGGAGCGCCTACAAAGCAGCGAGGGAGGCAGCCAAACGAGCTGCCAAGCCGCCGCCAACCAGGGAGACATTCGACCAGCAACATCCCCTCCCGGAATCGCCCCGGAGGGCTCCAGCTCTACGCAGCGGGGTAAAGCCCATCTTCACCATGCTGGAGGAACCGGATCGCCAAGAGGAGCCCGAACGCCAAGAGTCGCCAAGCCCACAGAACCGCGGGAGCAGCCGCGGGAGCAGCCGCAGCCGACACTCCCGCCGCAATGAGTAGGAAGCCCCTTCAAATCATCCAATATAATACGAACCGATCAAGGGACCAGGTGATGGCGCACTTCCTCCGGGACCCTAAGGTCCTGGAGGCAGACATCATCGCCGTACAAGAGCCCTGGGAGAACCCGTTCTCCGACACGACGCACCATCCGGCTTCCCGCACCCACCACCTGCTGTATCCCGAACAGGACGCAGAGGGCAGGGCGCGAGTATGCCTTTATATATCAAAGAAAATCGATACGACAAGGTGGCAACACATTAAGCACTCCAGGGACGTCCAGGAATTACGCCTCCGGAGCCGACCTGCTACTAATGATTACTGAGAACGCGAACATGGACTTGTGGCTCGAGGAGGGCAAGACCACGTGGGCGCGCGCAGGCTCAGAGAGTACTATTGACCTAAGTCTTTGGCACCAGAGAGCTGAAAAGCAGGGTAATCGCATGTGAAGTCACCCCCGGAATCCACGCGGACTTCGACCATCTCCCAATCGCCACCATCGTCGACATAGATACGCCATTGTCGACCCCGACCCCGACCCCCAGGAGGAACTGGAAGGCCATGGATACCAAGAAGCTGCGGACATTCGTGTCTGCGAACCTGGAACAGGGCCCGTGGAGAAGCCTCAGTGAGGCAACGCCCGGGACCATAGAAAACGCCACAGATCATCTTATCGAGACCGTGCAGCAGGCCATCGCCGATTCAACCCCGTGGGCCAAGCCGAGCGCGTGGGCCAACCCGTGCTTTACCCCGGAGTGCCGGGAGGCGATCAAGGCGTCCCGGCGCGCCTACCGAACATGGAAAAATACAAAAACACAAATTGACTATGAAGACTACACCAGAGTGAAGAACCGCAAGGGGAAGATCTTCAAGAAGGCCACCCGCAAGGCCCATCGGGACACCGTCCGGCGCGTCACGGAAGGAGGCAACCTCTGGAAGCTGGCTAACTGGGCGAGGAACCGGGCAGGGAGCAGCGGGATCATCCCGATCCTGCGTGGCCACGAGGGTCCGGCAGAGACCATGGAGGAGAAGGCCAAGGCGTTCCAGCACGTGTTCTTCCCGGAACCACCCCCGGCCGACCTCTCCGACATCAATGACAAGACCCGCTATCCCGACCCGATCCCTTTCCCCGAGATCACGACCCGGGAGGTCCGTGAGGCCATCAGCCGAGCCCCAGCCGACAAAGCCCCCGGATTCGACGCTATACCGAACAGGGTCTGGCGCGCCCTGGCCAGTGAGCAGGTGTTCATCGAAGCAGTGACAGCAATATTCGACGCTTGTGTGCGCGTTGGATACAACCCCCAGCACTTCCAGAGATCGGTCACGGTGGTCCTCCGCAAGGGGGGCCCCAGGGACTACCGCTTACCGAAGTCCTTTAGGTCAATCGCGCTGCTCAACACCCTCGGGAAGCTGCTAGAGTCCATTATAGCCAGCCGGATAGCGTGGGCGGTGGAGGAGTTTGAACTCCTGCCCCATTCACATCTGGGTGGCCGGAAGGGGATCTCAGTGGACCACATGATCCAGATGATCCTCGACCGTGTCCATCAAGCGTGGGGGAGGGACATGGTGGTCAGCATGATCCTGCTGGACATAGCAGGTGCCTACGACAACGTGTCCCACGCCCGGCTCATCCACAACATCAAGAAATCCCGCCTGGGCCACTTCGCTGCCTGGATCGAAGCCTTCCTAACTGGGAGAATCACCCAAATCCGGATGCAGGACTACGCGAGCCCGCCTATCCCGACACCAAACGGCATCCCGCAGGGGTCACCCATCTCGCCGATCCTCTTCCTGCTCTTCAACGCCCCCCTGCTACGCACCTGCAGACAGCAGGACGGCCGCGGCTCGACGGAGGCCTTTGGCTGGGTCGACGACACGTGCATCATCGCGATCTCGTGGAACTACGCCCGGAATAAAGCACTGCTTGAAGACGCGTTGAAGAAAGCTAATAAGTGGTCCCAGAGGCATGCGTCCAAATTCGCGCCGGACAAATTTGAACTGCTCCACTTTAGGAACCCCGGACTACCTCCCCCGGACGCCAACATCCCAGACGAAGCGCCCCCCGCCCCAGCAGACATATGGGGAAGAGCCCGACGAATGGGAAGGCCACGACCGGCTACCGATTAAGGCACCAACCCCCCCCCCCCCCCCCCCCCCGGGAGCGACCAGCCGATGACAATGATCAAACCCTCCGAATCCGCCCGCTACCTAGGGGTCTGGCTCGACAAGACCCTTTCATTTGATGTCCACCGGGCTAAGGCAGTAGCCAAGGCAAGCGGGAGTCTCGAAGCCCTCCGGGGCATTGCAGGCTCCACGTGGGGAACGTCGATCTTGCTCATGCGCAAGGTGTACCACGCGGTAGTCATCCCGCAGATGCTGTTTGGCATCGCCGCGTGGTACAGCCCGGCCAGCAGGAAGGTCCCTGCAGCGCAGTGGGCCCGCGTGGAGGCAGAGTTCACCAGGATCCAGAGACGCGCGGCCATCCTAATCAGTGGGGCTTTCAAGAGTACGGCAGCAGCCGCACTTGATATCGAACTTCACCTACTGCCCATGAAGTGGCTCATGCAACAGACCATCGAGGAGACAGCCATCAGAATCCACACAGGGCCCAAGATCGCCCAGCCGGAAGGGCTGCGGGTACGCAGGAAGCCCGCAGCCGTGAGAGTAGGGGGCATGACCCCGCTCGAAGCCCTCAGATGGAGAAGAAACGCAGTGCTCTACCCGACCCCGAAACGGGCAGAGACGTGGGAGTCCAGGAGCGCATTCGTCCTGGCTCCCTGGGAGCAGCGGATTGAGTGTGATATCCAAGCCCACGAAGCCGCGCTAGCCAAACATGAAGAGATCTGCCGCACTGAGCCGACCGCCACCGTCATCTACACGGACGGCAGTGGCTTCCAAGGGGGAATAGGAGCCTCGGCAGTCAGCCTCCGGGCCGACAAGGTGCAGCGTAGATTCTTGGGCACTGAGGCCGACTCCACGGTGTATGTGGGAGAGCTGACAGGGGTCGATATGGCCCTCCAGTTAGCCGGGAGCGCCCAACCGGGGTGCGGCATTCACATTTTCTCGGACAGCCAGGCTGCTATCAAGGCGGTTGGGGCTCCCGGCCGTCCCTCAGGTCAGTATGTCCTGCGAGCCATTTATGCAAGGTTTAAAGCGCTGCAGGCTCGCGTGGTGCTCCACTGGATCCCGGCCCATACCGGGGTGCAGGGGAACGAGGCTGCAGACTGAAGCGAAACGGGTCGCGGAGTGCGGGTTGGGCCGGAACAACAGATAATCCGCCTCGCCTCCGCTGCCAAGAGGACCGTTCGCGGCAGGTTCAAGGATCGGTGGGCCAGGCAGTGGGAGAAGGAACGCGCGGCCGCACCAACGAAGCGCTTGATCAAGGCCCCCACAAAGAAGACCCTGGAGCTGTACAAGGGGCTGCCAAAGGCCTACGCGGCAATTATCATGCAGATGCGCACTAGGAGGATTGGGCTAGCACACTTATTATACAAGATCAAGGTGAAAGACAGTGACAGTTGTGGCTGCGGAGAAGGCTCGCAGACCCCAATGCATGTCCTGATGCAGTGTCCCCGGTACACGCATCTGCGCAAGGCCATGCGAGATAAGATTGCCGCACGTGCAGATCTGGGGGATAAGATGACCGACTATGATACGCTGATATCAAACCCGCAGGCGATCCGCTACGTCGCCGAATTCATGCTACAAACAGGCTTGCTTGGGCAGTTCAGCCAGATGGAGTTGGATCCCGATTCTGACCCCCTGGAGGACCCTGACCAATGCCACGAACACACAGGCCTAAGGGCATTGGGGATAGACGCTGAAGATGCTGGGTAGAGGCCTCAAACACGCCCTGGTTGAGTCGCCAGGGCACACACGCATACCAGTATAGCAACACGCAGGTTGGAACCAGGAATGAGAAGCGGAGAACGGAGGGAGGATGGACTCGCAGGCAACTGGTCATCAGTTGCATTAAAAGTGCTTATTTAGTTGTGTATTGCTGCGTTATCGACTTCTTCCTATACGCGTGGTTTTGATGTTTTTCTTTCACTGCGAGAGTTGGGATTTATGGGATTTGACAGGCGTTCTGGCTTCATATTCTTGCTTCAACGGGAAGCGCCTACATAGCTAGCATCACATATAGCGGGCTCCATTAGGCTAATAGGATATGACTTGACTTGACTTGACTTACTCCAAGCGCTACCCCAGAAAGACGACTGAAGCATACAGCTGGGTAGACAACACCAACATCCTCGCCAAGGCCAGGTCGGAAGGAGCCGCAGTCCGTGCGCTAAGAAAGATATATCCCTACGCGCGGGACTGGGCCCAACAGCACGGCTCGGTGTTCGCCCCGGCCAAATACCAACTAGTACATTTCCCCTGCCCGGACCACAGCAAGTCCGAGCCAGCCAATACAGAACTCACAATAGAGGATGATACGGGCGAGGTCACAATCAAGCCCAGCAAAGCAGTGCTATACCTCGGCGTTTAGCTCGATTCGGAGCTCAACTTTGGAAAACACTGCAGGAGAATGGTCATGAAGGCAGAGACCAGCCTCGAGGCACTCCAATCAATATCAGCGTCCACCTGGGGAACATCTCTGCTCAATATACACAAGATCTACAACGCGATGGTAGTCCCGCAGCTCCTGTACTACTCTTCAGTGTGGTACAACCCATAGAGGCTCGCGGGAAACACCATAGCACGGAGGGCCGCAGTCCAACACCCAGAGCAGGTGCAGAAGCGAGCAGCAGTCCTAATCAGTAGGGCCTTCAAGAGCACTGCCGGGGACGCACTTAATGCCGAGCTCCACCTGACTCCAATCCCCCGGCTCCTAGAGCAGAAGGCCGAGGAGACAGCAATCCACATGATCACGGGGCTGGCAATAGGCAAGCCATGCAAGGGACAGGAGAGGAAGCCAAGGGAACGCCGCACGTTCCTGGAGACATTTGAGGCGGAAATAAAGAACCACAGGCACCGGAAGGATCAGGGCCAGGGCCAGGACCCGGACGTGCAGGAGCTGAGGTAGGAGGCAAGAGAGGCCTTCATTCAGCCTCCATGGCGTGTCCCACCCGCAGTGGTTATTGAGGATCGCGAGCAGGCGATCAAGACATATACACAGGTTGAAGCAAGAGGAGAGATCACTTTCTATGCAGACAGGAGCAGATTTAGAGGCCACATCGGCGCGGCGGCGGTCATGCCCAGGACCCACGGGGCTCAGGAAAGGAGGAAGGCATCATGCTACCTAGGCCCGGAGACGGTGAGTAACGTCTACGCAGCCAAGCTAGAAGGGCTGCTCATGGCCACGAAGTGGGCCACGTGGCAGCTAGCAGAGGTAGCCAAGCAGGAGAAGAAAGAGATCCATATCTTCAGCAACAGCCAGGCAGCGCTTAAAGCCATGAGGGCGCCAAAGATGTCCTCCGGTCAGTATACCCTGACCGCCTAACTCCAACAGTTAGAATAGCTGCGGAAGGAGGGGGTCAAGCCACACTACCACTGGATCCCTAGCCACAAGAAAGTCCGGGGTAACAAGCTCGCTAACAGGGCAGCTAAAGACACAGCTGAAGGCCGGGAACTACCCAAAGCAGGCATGGTGGCCCTGGCATCCGCGGCAAGGAGAACCGCACGCCAACTAACCTAAGAGAGATGAAAGAAATAGTGGAAGCAGCAACCAACCCTCGCCAAGCCGACCAAATACCTTATACCTGAACTGACCAAGGTGACCCTTAAGCTCTATCAGGGTCTCAGCAAGCCTCAGAGCTCGGCATTGATTTAGTTGTGCACAGGCAGGATAAGCCTAAATCACTTTCTGTATAAGATCAAGGCGAGGGACTCAGATAAATGCTGGTGTGATCGGGGATCCCAGACCCTGAAGCACATGTTGTTTGACTACAGGAGGCTCCGGGGGCTCTAGCAGGAGCTCCAACAAAGGCTCAGGAAGCACAAGATTGCAGTTAACTGGGATGATTATAATGTACTGGTGAGCGAGCCGGCCGCGGCTCGCTACATTACTGACTTTATAATAAAAACGGGACTTCTGAATTAATTCAGCGAGATCCCACTAATCACTAAAGATTGAGTAAGACAGTGGGGGAAGATGATGGGTATGCAGATCACGCAGGCAGCAGCCAGAAACCACCCCAGGCTGAAGACCATGATATATACAGCTATGAGAAAGATCCGCGGTGATCTAAACAGGGCCAGGCGAGGCCTGAGCAAGCACCATACCACGTGGGAACCAGGCAGAAGAAGCACTAGGCAGAGCCAGGTACGGCTTTAGCAGGGACTTAAAGGATCAGGGGGACAGGACAGGGTATGCTTTTCAATAAGCTTTTTAATGTAAAGGAATTAAGCTTTTCAATGCGGCGTCTTGGAAGTGACGTCGCGATGACAATGATCCGGATAGAGATAGATGGCAAGACAGATATAGGCAGCCACGTGGCCAAGGAGCAGGCGTGCGGTAAAGGGGCGTGTGGCAGGATCCGGGGACCCAGCAGGGTCAACACCATGTTTTATGATATTTTGACGTTTTATATATATGTGAATAGCCTCTCTGGAGCTCAGAGAACACCCGCACAGCAAGGCTATTAGTACGGCCGGCTATATCGGGTCTATGAATACTACTACTACTACTACTACTACACGCAGTCTCCATCACCTTACAGATATAGCTCATGGCTCAGCTATCTACAGATGTCCTGGGGCGCTTTATAGAATCCCACCAACCACGGGATTACGCAGACGATGCCTACGAGACGGTCAGACGCATAGTCTTCGGCCACGGACACATCTGCTGCCAGAGAGCGTTCTTGGACCTAGTTAGGAAGAACAGATCAGATTATTCAGCAGTATCTCAGTACGTGAACGACTACCAGGAGGCTTATACACTGGCAAAGCAATTGAAATGTGCTATAACACCGTATTGCGCGTTGCTGCAACTCCTAAAAGAACTAGAGTCAGATCGACCCCAATGGACGGCTATCGTCAAATTTCAACTCCCCGATGACGCTGCCACAGACCTGACGGAGTCGCAGTTCTTTGATTACTGCACAGATGCCATGAAAAGGGGAGACAAGCTTGACCAGGCGAATTGCGCGGCATCTTCCGTGAGATCGAAGCCGTCCACCATCTTGGACTCTGCCAAGAAGAGAAACAGAGTGTGGAAGAAGGCCACATTCCCGAAGAACGGTCAGAGCGTGGAGGAACACCTGGAAAAGATGCAGCATTTACCACAAACGCCAAACGGAAGCTGTGGCTACTGCCGATCAGGGAGACACCGCTCCCGTCGTTGCTGGTATCTCGGTCCTGATCAACGCCCTGAAGGCTGGACCCCCTATATTCATGATATCTGGTACTGTGAGGGTAAGACGGAGGGGAAATAGTCGAAATCAGCAGCCTCCGCGAAGGTGGTCCCGGCTGCGTCCCACGTGCCTCTGACCGCCGAATCAGATACAGATGACGACATTACCACTATGGATTTTAATCTATTCCATTTAAGGCTTAGTGCCCGCCAAACGCGGAAGGCGATCAATGAGACGGCTGTTCAACACAAAATAAAGTCGTATTGGTGCTAACTACTCTAGAGCTTTAAGCGTGAAGAGGAAAATAGGAAAACAGAAAGTGTTGTGGGCGTTCACTAGAGAAAAGCAACACTGGCAATAGCAAAGCAAACAGAGCAAATAGAATGACATAAGTACCACGTGACACCAAGCTGGGCTGCTGTTATAGATTGCTGGCAATACCACATTCTACACCCAAGTCACCAAGAGCTTTATGACGGCGATCGTTATACCCAAATACTCTGTCCAAACCACTAAGATAATTCGGGAACTGGTCAGTCGGCACAGAGCAGCCAGGCAAATCGAGACCGACCAACGCCCTAAGCAAGATCAGGCTTTGAAGAACGATTTAGATGATATCATACAAAATCTTGACGAGAAGATAGTGGCAGAGGCTGCGAGGCCTCGAGCCGCGCAAAGAAATGCAGATGATATTCAACGAACGCAACAACTGCGCCTGGATCTCACTAGTCGATGGGTCCAAAACAGTCAAGCTGAATCGAGTGCCATAGAATCCGATACTGACGGTATGGTTACTGATATTACTTCTAAAACTGCATGAGATTTGACCTGCCTGCTAATTTGTATGGGAAATCCCAACTAGATAGAATGCATTCAAGCCCGACTTCTATTCGACCTAAACGGAAACGTCAACGGGGTGAGGATTCAAAGGACAAAGCATTTAATGGCATCGACCGCCTACTTGAGATGCTGTCCAACCGACCAAACAGAACGCTCGGGAATCGTGTTAAATACCTTGAGGACCGCCTGGAATTGGTAAATAAGCAAGAGTTGATTCACTGGAAAGTTAAGAAACTATGTCGACAGCAGCGGACTCCAGATAATGTTATATAACTCGTTCATTAATGGATTTGACTTTACTATGGTTTGTACATCAACTTAAAAGACAGAAAGCACAATATATAATTGAAACAGAAAGGAAAGTGTGCTGCCCGGAGTAAACAGCTTACTCTCCTTTCCCCAACACCTCAACGACTTCCAACTGGTTCTGCTTTCGGGCCAAATCCAGAGCTGTAAGACCTCCGGTATCTTTGACACCCTGGTCAGCCCCTTTGCTCAGCAGATAGCGAACCACATCAACTTTACCCAGTTCAGCTGCCCTATGCAGAGCAGTCCCTAAAGGCATAAAGCAGAACACTGCGAATGTACGCCAATCTTCATGGATGGGAGTATTCAGAGGTGCGCCTTTTTCAATGAGTAAATCTAAGACTTCGATAGTATCAAAGTGCATGGTGAAGCAGTTGTCCTTGATGAATTTCTTTACTCCGATCGAGCATTAGACGGATAGTTGAAATGGAAGCACGTTCAACTGCCAACGAGAGTGGAGTAATATCAGTAAAAGCTCGCTTATTGGGATCGGCTCCATGATCTAGAAACCAAGTGGTCATATCTTCATCGTGTATGGCAAGCCTAAAGTAGAGTTAGTGAAGGGCTTTATCTACAAAGCCTTCAATATTGACTTACCCTAGAGCAGGGGGTTGAGTTTTGCCCATTAACTCATTGATATCCCATCCTCTTTTAATGAAGAATTCAAGCGCTTTCTTGGACATGTGCTTGGTGGCTTCCTGGATATAGATTGAAACCATCATAAGACCTCGATCTCACAGCTCTTTGATGAATGGCACATTGCCTTTTGTGATGGCCTCCATCATTACCAACCCCAAATCGTTCATGTCAAAATGCTCTAATGAGGAAGATCTGTCGAGTAACTCTCGGGACCTTTCAATATCATCATTAATGCATAACAGCCGTGCCTCTTCAATCGTCTCACGTAGTGTTTGAGTCCTAATTTCAGGGAGCTCACTCGGTACGAAACAGGAAGGATCTGCGACAGGCGGGAAACTCATAACAAGCAATAAGAAAGACCAGAAAGATTTATCCTGAAAGAAGTAATGCTTGGAACTGCGTGAGGTGTGGTGTAGCAGTAGGAAAGAAGGGGTATTTAAGCTAGCGTCAAATCACGAGACCTAAAAGGTAGTACGATCCTCCCTCCCTAGATACTTCGCGATGCATAGCCGTCATGGATATATGATTCTGCCGGATCTCTAATCCAAACCAATCAGTGAACGTGCATAAACAGGTGTTGTAATCTGCCTGGATAGATCACTTTACGGGAATACCCTTATTACTCAGAGATTGTCAGTAATATCTGCATGTTTCGGGTAAGTAGTGGCCTTAAACAACCTGCCTATTCTTTCACAAAACCCCGGTGCTGTGCGCTGAAGTACCAGAAGCAGTCCCCTCTCTGTTCACTTGCGCCACTATAAGTAGAGGCGGCCTGGACTTGCTTATGATCAACAGTATAGTATTACTCTCAGACAAGCCATATACTTCTACAGTTCAGGAGTCATTCAATGGCACAGTTTCCTACAATGTCCGCCCCAGGTCACTTCGATCGGTTGCAAGCAGATCACCCAAAAAGTGTTATTGAGGTCCAAATGGGTGAGGTAAAAGTGGCTTCTTTCCAGGAGAAGCTGGCCATTGGCACTAGGCACTTGGCAGGTTGTTCTGTTATTCTCATAGCCTCCGTGCATGGTGCCATTAGGGCTCATATCCCGCCACGGCCATTGCAACCCTCCTAAGACCCACTTGCGGGTGACAAGAATGCTGCTGCCATGACAGACCGAGTAACTGAACTGTACCAATAATACCGCAATACTCTTTTCACTAGTCCAACAGATACGGTGATTGTTTGTGCTATGTTTGGAGGAACCGTTGCACTGCGTGACCAGGGGAGGATCATGCACTCAAAATTTTTGGATTGGGTCCGGTCATCCAAACCTATCATGTCCCTCCGGATCAAAACAAGCCTGGTCAAGGAACCGTTGTTGCGCTGGGTAGCACGGGATCTGCAGTCATGGGGGGCGTCAATGGAGATCGTGCCCTCATATTTGTGGAGGATAAGAAATATGTTTCCGGGTCGCCTTCTTGAGGATCTAATTGTGACGTATCTGGGCATTATGCAACCAGTAGTCATCCCACATGCTTCCATGAATGATTGTAGAATGGCATTGCTAGCTATGTCACAATTCCCCCTTATTTGATCCATAGCCGAAACCAACCTGTTCAGTGTGTTCCTCTTTTGGTAGGCGTGCTTGTCCTGGTGGCTCCATCAGGGCGTTTCTGGTGCATCTACCCATCATCTTCAGCGCCTATCCCCAATACCTATAGGCCTAAATGTTCGTGGCTGGGATCGGGATGCAGTGTGAGATTAGCATACAGGTCCACTTGACTGAGTAGTACGAGTAAACCTGTGTGCAGCATGAATTCGGCGACGTAGCAGATTGCCTGCGGGCCTGATTTCACCGCATAATAGTCAATTATCCTGTCCCCCAGATCTGCACAGGTGGCATTCTTTGAAATTCCGGCGAAAGGTGCTCTCGGCAGCGGAAGTGAGACGGATTATCTGATGTTTAGACTGTCTTTCATCCCGTCTGTTTTTCAGAGGCCAGCGGTATATCGTTTGGGTTTAATGGTATGAAATCTGACATCTGTTGCTCCAGCCCGACTCTGCACCGCTTCGATTCAACGCAGCTTGGTTCCTGTGAACGATATGGACCGAAATCCAGTATTACTGCCCAACTATGGGAGAATATCTGGATTTCCGGCTGATTGTTTGCTGTTATCGGGATCCAAGGGGGGCTGCAGACTCGGAAAATCAGAACAGGCCGCGGAGTGCGGTACTGGGCCGGGCCAACAGATAATCCATCTAGCACTCTCGTTCACAGCATCGCAGGAAGTCCAGATATTACCGCACTAGCAAATCTGGGGGATAGGATTACGGACTATGATACCCTACGTTGTTGGATTCATGTTGCAAACGGCCTGGCCACGAACACTTAAGCCTACGGGGATTGGGTATAGACGATGACGAAGGGGTTTTCAGGAATTGGCAACTATTGACTATCATGGTCAATCGAATGACATGGCTCGAGTCGGTAATTTGTTTGTTGCTGGGCTCTGTGACGGAGTAGGCTTCTTGAGAGAAAAGGTCGGGATTTTGAAGTGTCGGGCCACGCTAATAGCGAAACTAGTATCTCTTACAAAGTAGCCATTTGCTCCGGAGTCAGCAAGTGTACAGGTGGGGATAGCAATACCATATTAAAATAACATAAAGGTGACTGTAAATGTATTACCATGATTATTTAGTGGGTATTAAAGAACCAACGTGCTTGCATGATCTTCCAGCTCGCCCGGGACGGAGACTTCCTAGGTGTTACTCCAAGGCCTTGAGCTGGAGTGATATCTTCTTTGGACAAACCTTGCTGAGATGTCCGGCTTCCTTGCAGTAGAAGCATCTTCCTTCTCTCATCAAACGTTCTCTGACTTCCGGCTCCATGCCGGAGGCCCGGGTAGAGGGCTTCGAAGGGCTGCCGATCAGAGTGTAAGTTCCACGGGTTGTGTCGCGGGAGGTCTGAGTGGTGGTGAGAATAGTGGAGTGTTGTTCCACCCGATCCTCGCTAAGCTCTGCAGTGCTAGCACACGCTTTCACACAGTCATCGAAAGTGGCCTCCCTGTTGCTGAAACAGTAGATAGTGCATTCCTGAAGCTCCGGAAGAAGTCGGTCATAAAGATCCTCTTTCCAATCCTCTTCACCAATCCCGGCTTCTATGGCCAGGTAATGAAAGTTTGAGATGAAAGTGTCAAACTTGTCTCCGACTTCCATTTTGAACTCCTGGTATTGGCGTCGAACCTTTCGGGCCTTATTGAAATTATGAAACATGACTTCAAGGTGTTCAAGCATGTCCTCAGCATCCTTACAGGGGTTAGCGGTCTCACGGCGAAGGCGTTGGATCAAATATTTTCTCGCGACTCCTTCGCACCGGCTGGCCACGTAAGCTTTGCGTATAGCAGGAGTGCTAAGGCGATCAGCATTGACATCTTATTTTTGTCGCATCACCAGAATCCAGTCTTCCAAGGTGATGTCCTTTCCATCACCGAACATAGGGGGATCGGGGATCTTCATGGACTTCTTAGTTTCAGAAGACGAGGCACCCCAGTCAAGGTTCACCGCCTGGCGGGTGATCTGCACAGCGAAGCTGTCCCGTTCCTTGGTAAGGTCGATGATCTGTAAAGCCTGCTGATCCCGCTCCTTCTGGATAGCGTCCCTTTCTTGAGCGATCTCACATGTCTCAGATTCCAGTTCGTTCATGATGTTCAGGATAACATCAAAAGTTCGCTCGGGGTCTTGCTTGTAGAGGTCGTGGAATTGCTCGCGAGTGATATCGCCGTGGTCAGCAGTTTCTCCATTCAGTAGAGCGGTCAGTCGTCGGGTACCCTGTCCACGTGGAGCAGAGTTCTGGGAGCTTCCCTTCGCCATCGTGGCCAGGCTGGTCGTTTCTTCGGTCGTGATCGAAGGTTCGAGGATGGGTCGGTGGGTCGTTATAGCGTCGCCAAGAGCACCAGGTGGGGACTGCTGGCGGCTTAAGCAAATAGCTATCTAGCTGCTCGCAGTAGTAAGGAAAGACGCTTGAAGTTATAGTAGGATTGTTCAACGCTGCGCTGAAATCAGACAAGTGCTATCTGGAGTCTAGAACATTGAGCGTGAGGAGGAAGAAGAAGAAGACAGAAGAAAAATGTGGGCGAAAGCGAAGCAAACAGGACAAACAGATTAGTCACGTGATATGGAACAGAGCTGCTGTCACAAATCGAATGTGACGTGACTTCGCTTGACTTGAACTACCCGGACGAACTGGTGTCTTGGATATGTCTTATTTCCTGTTACAAAGTCATCACTGGTAGTTATAGTATTGATGTCATGTTTCGTAGCATTCTGAACCAGAAGTAGCATCGTATGTTGGACGCGGTGGCGGCCATCGGGTGAACCTCTATTTGCCCAATGGCCGTCATAGCGCATAATATCGCCGGAGGGCCAGAGGAAGCGACAATCATCACCCCAATCCTTACAGCAACTTTTCTAGTATTTGAAGACGACTTGCGAGATGCAAGTTGCCGCAGCAAATGCATCGAGTTTGACTACAGAAATAAAGCAGCAGTCGCTTTGTCTCGGGTCACTCCACTTTCTTTGCAGACCCGGGAATTACTCCGTTGAAAAACGCAGACGGACGAACCTACATAGACATTTACACACGCGAGATTCTCTTTTGGATTGACATCTTATTTCCAAGCACTGCTTCTTACTTGACTGCTTATTGCGAAATATATATATGGTGGTTATCTGCCGTTTCAGGAGAATTTGGCAAAAGCCAAGATGGGAAAGGAGACAAGGCAATATGAATCTTTCTCAATAAAAGCTTCCAGGAACTGGGTAGCATTTGGACTTCATTTGACTCCATAATTGAGTACCCGGCAATGTCTAAAGTCCATAGTATGATCTAGTGACAGGGACGTGTTCAACAGCCAATGAAAGTGGAGTCATATTCATAACACTTCGTTCATTACTAGGTTTGACCGCATTTTTAAGGAACCAGATAATGCTTGGTTCCCCATCTATGGCAAGACTGGAAGGTGATTAGAGAAGGCGGGTAGACAAGGTCTTCTAGCTAAGGGAAATGCGATGATGACGGACGTTATGACATACACTTCAGTTCTGCAAAAAAAACTCATTGATAGCCCATCCCCTTTGAATCCAAAAGGGCTAGTACAATTTTGGATTTGCATCGAGTTGCCCAGGCATACAAGGAAGCCTGGGGAACAGTTGATCGAGAAGCTCTTTGATGAAAGGCACGCTGTCTTGTTTGATGGCCTGGCCAATGACTGCCTCCAGATCATATATGTAGTGTCTCATCGTCTCAGAAGGCGCCAAGTCCAGGAGCTCCCGGAACTGTTGAATATCACCAGTGATACATAATTCCATCCTTCCGTCAAGGACTTCCTTTGGGGCCCGACCTGGGACTTGGTAAGTGAAAAAGGGATTCCGATAAGGTGCTGACTGTGGGTCCAGACCGTCGAAGAGCAATCGAAATGACTGTGACGGCAGCCCAGCCCGGTGTCACGTGACGCTTATGTCATTCTGTTTGTTCTGTTTGCTTTGCTGTTGCCAGTGTTGCTTTTCTCTAGTGAACGCCCACAACACTTTCTGTTTTCCTTCTTTCCTCTTCACGCTTAAAGTTCTAGAGTAGTTAGCACCAATACGACTTCATTTTGTGTTGAACGGCCGTCTCAATGACGACCCACGAGGAGGCTTTTGTTTGTCCAACGGCAGGTTACTCCAATCGGAGGAAGGCTACATGTTACACCCTACGAACATCAGAAGGACGTGCGGTGGGGCAAAGGGTGACAACCCTTATCAGGGAGCGTACGCATGTATGCTGTCGACTGTCAAGAGCTAGGGACCAACATGATGTTTTCCCCGACATGAAAATTGATGTAGCATCAGCTATTGATATGCATGATCTCGCGATTTCGGGGAATTGGTATAGCTCAATCTTGAAGGTTGGGTGAGATGGCATGTAGGAGGTAGATATCATATCACCATGAAGTAGTCCAAATTAGTGGTAGAGTATGGATGGCTATAATCGAATATAGTATTAAAATGTAGTCTGCGCATCGACAAATAAAGCTCAACCCCTGACAATCCAAATAGCAAAAGTCCACAGTACATCAGGAAACATGAGGGCGTGACGACAGGAAGATACAACGGCCTAGCTCCATGTCCACAGTGGGCATGACTTTCCGAAGTTGAGGGCATTGAACCACCGTGTGGTCCGGGTGTTCAGCGAGACAGATGTCACACACACTCTTATATACATCCATGGGCCGAAATTTGGCACGAAACACCCGCTTCCTTCCCACAGGGAGCGAAAAGGAGGCAAACCCTGGAGCCTCCTCAAACAACACCATAGCCCGAACACTCTCGCATCCATAAATATTCTGAACCCCAACCCAGAATGGGATCCCGCATCTTTGGATCTGATCCACTTGAAGCAACGCCTCCATCAACCCCTGGTGACCCTGATAGCCGCAGTGATCCGTCACGAAACCCTGGGGACATCCATCTTTGAAGAGAGAGAAATTAGAATGATACCCATCCAACTTGACACAAACCCCATCTCGAAACCGTCTCGCCGTCTCCACCGATTCACACTTGACCACCATCCTTTGGGACCGTGAGGCTTCACAACCTCCAACTCCGCGTGGGACACGATGCCCGATCCCACCAGGCCCGAAACCACCTTGCTCGTGGGGATATGGTCAGCAGGGCGCAGCTCAATTGGCACGCTTCCCCACAGCCAGGTACCATCGCCACACTTGGATTGGTACCCGGGAGCAAATCCCTGCTCTACTCTACGAGTCAGAACGACGTTGGCCTTTCCAGACCAGTTCTTCCCCACAGGTTGACTCCTCTTTGCGATCACCGCGCCTTCAACCGACATAGTATTGACATCACCCAGCGCCGGGGAAGGATTATTCCCAGTGGACTTTTTTTTTTTAACGGCGGCCGAGCTGGCATCAGGCTACCGGGGCATGGGCGTTTACCACTCGCTCCCGGGGCAGCGGGTTCCGCAGGGGGATATTCCTTGGAAGGGTTGTTATCAATACAAGTCTATGTCCGTGCCATTAAGCGGCAAGATCTGTGAGGGGACATGATACACCGCGGTAGATTCTACACCGGGACAGTCCAGACTCCAATGTTCCGTAGAGGAGCATTCTTTGCATGGCCAGGGAGGTTTTTCTCCACCGGCGCGAATTACACCGGCCTTCTTTAAGCCTAGCTTAAGATTTTCTTTGTTACGAGCCAATCTTTTCACCGTGCGGGCTTGGTTTTTGCCCACATGGCGAACACAATCTTGATGATCCGCCTCATCGACAGACTGTCGCAGAACCCCCTTGGGAAGGACCTCGAAAGGACGATTCTCCCTTTCGGGTGTATCGTGGGTATCTGGCAGCATGTTGTCACGGGCTGGAAAATCACTCAAGTCCTCTCGGTTGTTACAGTCTTTCCGGATACTGGTGTCACCACTTATACTCTTCGATTCTTTCAGTAACCCTGACGTGAAACTACACTAAACCGAATTTGGAAAGAAAGGGAACAATGGTTATCCCGAATCGAACAATGTACTGTTATTACATGTAAATAATACTTCAATTACGTGACCCGATAATCTAAGTACTTGTTACTTGGCTTGGAAATATCTGGACTAAGAATGAGTGGCAAGCTGGCCACATTCACGGAACCCTCTAGAAATCACTGGAGAGTTCGAGTTTATGGGAAAGAATTGTATATAAGCCTCAGCTATCCCAGGCCCTCCTTTCATAAAGAGATTAGAAAATAAGAGACTTGAGTGGAATGCAAACAATATTATTTTATCTTATTTTCTCTAACCTGACGCATATTTAATGATTCAACTCAAAAATTGTGTATTTGAGATCATTGTTGATTGATGCCAGCTTTCTGGGAAATCAGGCAAGTTGAAGTCAGATACTATTACTTCTATCAAACATTATTACCCCACTATTGTTGACGTGGCGTAGCTGGATGACAGGGGTATGGCGCTTCTGGTTACCATTTACACCCAAACTACGCTCAAAGGCGACGTGGTTAATGCTTGAGAAGATCGATTTTCAGTCCGTCATCTTCCTCGGTAGTCAAAGTATTCGATAACGATATGATTTTCGGATACTGTATTACGCACATCATCTTGATCATTCCTTAGATTTGAAATCGTAACTAGACAAGGTCACAAGATGGGGCAATCTATAGAGATTGATTAGCACTGGCCAAGAACAACCGCCTATCAGCCCGGGCCGGGTAATCCTCGTCCCGTGCTTCCCACCAGAATGTTCCATGCAAACGAGACAAACACTAGGAGCCCCGTTCCCAACACGCTGTCAACACCTTGCTCACCTAATGTCTTATCATTCCTGGCCGGGATACTTCGATCGTTCAAATTGATCGATATGGGTGGCGCAATTTACATAGCCCTGCTTTTTATTCTGTACAGCCTGTTAGCAACAGCCCCGTGGCCCTTTGTCTCAAAACTCATGTAAACGTCCCCTGTTTTCTCTGCTGACTTTCACTCTTATCTATCAGACTCCTCAAGGGAATTTATTGCCTCGATGAAGTGGCTTCCAGCCCTCTGAGAGACACCGCTTCTCAGGCTCGTTCTTTTGCTTCATAGGAACAGGCCTCTTCGTATGCCCCTACTCCCGGTAACTTTGACCGCGATTGCACGCCGTCCGGATACAGCCCTTCCTTCCGCCCATGGAAGTCGAAGTTCCACCCCCTTGCGTCATACCCCACTCGATCAACCAGAGTTTATTCGCGGTGCGGAATTTAACGCTACAAGGATAGATGATAGGGAGCAGCCTATCTTGATTCGATATTTGATTGAGTGGAGAGTAACTCTGAATAACCGCGTGATGGCAAAGGATACGGAACAAGACCTCACGCTAAATCCCAGTTCTTATTGGTCAAACATCAAACATAAAGCCGAAGATATACTACGTCGGAAGATGGCTCGCAACCGACGGGTGAGACTGGATGATACTATGGTAGTGGTTTCTGTAAATGATCGATCACAGCGCGATCTCACTAAGCGCTTTGAAAAAACTGATATCGAGTGGGCGGCTATTCAAAGGCAGCTTGTAATGTGGGAAAATTTATTTCACCAAGGCAAGAAGCTTAGGCTTTGTATCTCTATTAACTATTTAGACTCCGACCAGTCTCCAAGAGACACTGATAAGAGAGGGCAAACCTCGGTGACTAGGAGGATGCTTAACGCACGAGACGCTGAGATTGATGCTGAACGGGTCACTGGTCAGCCTTCGGCTTGGCGGGATGTGTACAGAGTAATGCGCTGCCCTGGTTCGCCATGCCGTCTAGAATCACAATATTGCTGGCAGGACCCAGATGGGAAAAAGCATTATAAAGTACGGACGCATCATTTGAGGAAGCTTGTTAGATATGTGGAAAAAGAGGGAGGAATTATTGAAACCCACGATGACATACCTGAAAATATTCGAGAACAATTATATGCAGAGGAACAACAGCGACTTGAACAACGACCGAAGGCTCCTGTGCATCCAGTCAGTGGATCTACATTTCCAATTAACATTCACGTGCTCCCTACACAGCCATCTCAGCCTGTGGCGGTATCTCCAGCGGCCAGTGGTAACTCTACTTCGTTAAAACCCTCTCCCTTCTCTAGTGCCATCGATATTCCTGGGCCTCTTGAAGTAGCGGTAGAGGAATACACGGCTTGGCAGCTCTCACGGGTGAGCACTGAATCCTTTAGGGAAAATATCATCAAGGCACATAAGGTCACGCTGGAGAACTGCCTTGATCTGAAACAAATTTATCATGATCAAGACCCTGGCTTTTTCATCGTTCAAGGCGTGAAGCTCGGGGCTGCACGCAGGTTTGTTGGTGAGATTAATGACTGGGTCCAGGAAGTCAAACGCAACCAAAATAACGAATTTGCATTAGATTGAGAACACTTTTATTGAGCCTTTAACATTTTGATTAGGTACTTTGAGTACAATAGTAGAACCAACTATATATTTTAGGACATTTCATATACCAAAACATATCTCAGCAAGTGACTATCTTAGAGTTCTTCATTATGATACTCAATAGTCAGTCCTGCATGTCGAAAGTGTCCTTTTGCACTTTGCTCTCGGGCTCCCACCTTATCAACACACCATTCAAGGAATTTTTCGAACCCTTGCTCAGTATTTTCCTCATATGACTGCCAGTGCCGCCGAATAAAAGCTTTAAGCTCGGCGAAAAACTCTTCGATTGGGTTCAGATCCGGTGAATATGGCGGTAAATATACCAATTTGACGCCCTTTTCAGAGCACATCTGCTCAATACGATTCGAATGGTGAAATGATGCATTGTCCATAATAAGAACTGACTTAGGTTCGGGCCATTTTCCACAATGCTGAAGCAGCTCTTCAATGAAATCCTCGAAGAAATATGCATCAGTCGTACCCTGGGAAATCTGAGCAAGCATGATTCCATCTTGAAAGTAGGCAGGGATTATCTGGTAACGCTGATCTCGATGGAATTTTGAAATCTGGACCGGTGTTATACCACTTGGAGACCATGCAGTCCTTCGAAAACCTATGCGTTTATCGCATCCAGATTCATCAATATAAACCAGATGGAATGAACAGAAATCCGAGATAAGATGCATGTATTCATCTCGTAAATCATAGTTCCGTTCTTTGGCTTGTTGTCGGGCAACTTTCTTAGACCATCCCTTCTTATGAAGCGCACCACTTATAGTAGACTTCGGTATGCGCATACAGGCGGTCCCGGAATTCCTCTGACCTTCAAACACATGACTACAGTTGTTTGCAAAACCACCATGCCTACTCTTGACGCTCAGCCTCTTTCCCAACCCATAGCCTTCCTGCGCTAGTCTTTATACGTTTAGTGTGTATATGAGACTCCTTGGCACTACTGGTCCCGTTTTGTAAGTATTATAATCTTACTTCCTTTTTGTTACAGTACCTGTAAAAGCTTTACAGAAACCTAGAAGCTTCCATGTCCGGAACAATGCTCAGGTGTCCACATTCGTATTGCTTTTCGCTTCTCTAAACCACCCCACAGTTCCTATACCGTGGTGCAGAAAACAGTAGAGCGATGTCTCCATACTTGTTGCCAGCACCGATTTAGCTTATCTGTAATATGCAGCCTGTCGCGGCAAGTCAATCTCGAAAGCCAATGAAGCTGCCGAGCGCAGGAAGCAGGCGGTCATAAAGCTACAAACATAGGTTAGGCCAGCGACTAATGACAGCAACCATGCTGAGGACTTTAGGTGAATACCTCCTGCAGAGCGTTGTACCTAGACGGAATGGCAGTTTCTACGGGACGTAAATTGGCCTCCAAGTTGCAACTAGCAGCGTAAGCAAGGCGTTTTCCTCCACTGGTGGGTCCAAAGAAACAGTTCAACAAGAGGAGAATCGCGAATGAGCCTTACGACCCAGGCCTCTTCTGCACGGGAATTACAAGAGACGGCGAACAGAAACGGGAATGATTCGATTACACCATGCTCTTATTGTTATGTATGAGAGACCCCAACCGTTGATTTACCCCAGAGCAAGTGGGGTCTTCATGGCAAGCAGAAATGAGATACAGTACTAACCCGAAATACCTTTGATGGTCTGCCTTTTGTCTAACTATCTGCTGAACACCAGGAATCTTCGTCTAAATTCACTTCGGTTCGTTCAACTTGAGCAACAAAAGAGTCCTCGTACTATCGTGCTGCTTTTGTCTAATGACAGGGAAAAGAGGGAAACGGCCAGGTCACACAAGCTTCCCAGAAGTACTTCCTTTCGAGACGTAGCATGCTCGCACTCGCCCAACTCCCAGCCTTTCATACTCTTCCTCTCCTGATGTTCTTTGAACGGCAAGTATATAGTAATCCTTGTTAGGGTCATCCTTATCGTCATCTTGACACATTGCGATGACGACACAGTTTCGAGACTCAACCTCGGCCGCCGAACCCATGTCGAAATGTAGGATGCCGACTTCGACTTCCTTCGTAGCTTCAACTTCCGTTGTAACTTCGACCTTCTTTGTCTTGGTGAATATTATATGCTCTCCATCCCTCTCTCGCGTATAACAACCTTCAAATTGTCGAACTTCAATATTGATGCCGCGCTCGGAGTTGTCAAAGCTTAGGCTTTGGTTCCTTGGGACTTGAAGATCCGATTGTGTCAGAAAGTCAATTTTACCATTATAAAGCATCCAAGACCACGACGGCACACGATCATCGTCGTAATAAATTCGATCATTCTCCATTCCAGCCCGCTTCCACAAGAGGAGCCGAGGAAGAAAGCAACGGAAGACACCGTATCTGACTTCAGTAGCTAGAGCTTCCTTAATACGCTCAGCTATGCCGGAAAATGCAACTACCTTGTCCTTTTTCGGAAAGGTAAGATCACGACGAGAGTAGTCCGTGATAAGCTCTTGGAGAAACAAGGCTGCCGATTTATAACCTGCGAATACGAGCCGCTCAGGAAACCGTGGGTCAAGTAGGTATAATCTAGTAATGGGACTAATATGATTGGTAGGTCAACCGATATTCCTCTGACTCTAGGGAAGCGAACTTACCATTCTAATGTGCTAAAATTCTCGCAACGAACTCCCTCTCCACATTCCCAGTATGTCTGTTGCGCAGTGAAATAGATAGTTCGGCGGGAAAGCGCTCTTTCTTGCAACACCCAGGCTCGTGTATGCAGTTGGCCTTCATCAACAAGCTTACAAAAGTCATCAACGATCTTTTGATCGGAATTGACTACCTCTGATTGACAGAGATCCTGAGTGCGGTTGAGGAAGCCATCATTCCAACCGGATGCTGAACTTGACGCGATCGTGCAGTATGCAGAGGCAAATACTTTGTCCATTCTTGCACCTTCCTCCTCCCAGTCTTTCTGGTCACCTTGAATGATGCAGAGAGCATCAATCCAAAGATACTGCTTGTTCAATTCTCGGGTCACCGTAATAGCGTCCTGGAAAACTTTTGGAAGGCTGTGATAGCTGAACCCTTCTAGTCGTTCCTGGTAGTTCCGACGTGTGGTACGGAATTGCTCCATCTCCTCATCGGTCGGCTTGCCCCAGCAGTGCGATAGCGTTATATAGTCAAATGGCTGTGTTATGTGCGCGGACTCCTGGAGTTGCAGCTGATCTGAATGATCTGTTCCAACGAAAATAACGCGCTTTGGCACGACCTGACGCCTTCCCTGCATGCATGAATGCTGCTTGTCACACACTCCAAGCCACTGACGAAGCACATCAAAGCGATCGATGATCGGCAAACGATGGGAATATCCTGATTCTGTGTATTCTTTTTGCAGATCTGCTCATAAATTGGTAGTAATAAGAAATGAAAGGACTAAAGAAAAGGGCCTGCTTACCTGAGTAGCTGGAGAAATGGAAAGTAGACGACTGGCGTCGGTCTATGCTGATATATGCATCATCTATGGCTCGGTGAACCAAGTAATGGCCAATAATTTCAGAACAGTTTTTAGAACGAACACATTGCTTGCATAAAGTCAGAATATTCCGGGTTCGAAGTATTGAACATACACATACTCTGAAAGCGGTTTTTGGATGACGGAGCAGCATGCGTGTGCCGAGGATGAGCTTATTCTTATAACCAGCAATGAGGTTCGTGATTTCAGTATCAGTTTCACATGACCATCGATCCTGACATTATAATTAATAACACAGAAAGGGACAGAGGACGGCCATAGCAGTCATGACTTTCTTTAAGACGGGCCTAACTTACCCGCTATACCAATATCATATCCCCGTCAGCCATTACCGCATGCAATGTACTGTTCTGTAAAAGGCTGACTTACATCCTATACCAATATCAAATCCCCGTCAGCCATTACCGCATGCAATATACTGTTCTGTAGAAGGCTGACTTACCCGCTATACCAATATCATATCCCCGTCAGCCATTACCGCATGCAATATACTGTTCTGTAGAAGGCTGACTTACCCGCTATACCAATATCATATCCCCGTCAGCCATTACCGCATGCAATATACTGTTCTGTAAAAGGCTGACTTACATTCTATAGCAATATCATATCCCTGTCAGCCATTACCGCATGCAATGTACTGTTCCGTAGAAGGCTGACTTACCCGCTATACCAATATCATATCCCCGTCAGCTATTACCGCATCCAATGTAGTGTTCTGTAGAAGGCTGACTTACATTCTATAACAATATTATATCCCCGTCAGCCATTACCGCATGCAATGTACTGTTCCGTAGAAGGCTGACTTACTAACTATACCAATATCATATCCCCGTCAGCCATTACCGCATGCAATGTACTGTTCTGTAGAAGGCTGACTTACTTTCTATATCAATATCATATCCCCGTCAGCCATTACCGCATGCAATGTACTGTTCCGTAGAAGGCTGACTTACTAGCTATACCAATATCATATCCCCGTCAGCCATTACCACATCCAATGTAGTGTTCTGTAGAAGGCTGACTTACCAGCTATACTAATAACATATCCCCGTCAGCCATTACCGCATGCAATGTACTGTTCTGTAGAAGGCTGACTTACCCGCTATACCAATAACATATCCCCGTCAGCTATTACCGCATCTAATGTACTGTTCTATAGAAGGCTGACTTACCCGCTATATTAATATCATATCCCCGTCAGCCATTACCACATCCAATGTACTGTTCTGTAGAAGGCTGACTTACATTCTATAGCAATATCATATCCCCGTCAGCCATTACCACATCCAATATACTGTTCCGTAGAAGGCTGACTTACTTCCTATACCAATATCATATCCCCGTCAGCCATTACCGCATCCAATGTACTGTTCTATAAAAGGCTGACTTACTAGCTATACCAATATCATATCCCTGTCAGCCATTACCACATGCAATGTACTGTTCCGTAGAAGGCTGACTTACTAACTATATCAATAACATATCCCCGTCAGCCATTACTGCATGCAATATATTGTTCTATAGAAGGCTGACTTACCAGCTATACCAATATCATATCCCCGTCAGCCATTACCGCATCCAATGTACTGTTCTGTAAAAGGCTGACTTACCCGCTATATTAATATCATATCCCTGTCAGCCATTACCACATCCAATGTACTGTTCCGTAGAAGGCTGACTTACCAGCTATAGCAATATCATATCCCCGTCAGCCATTACCACATCCAATATACTGTTCCGTAGAAGGCTGACTTACATTCTATAGCAATATCATATCCCCGTCAGCCATTACCGCATGCAATGTACTGTTCCGTAGAAGGCTGACTTACTAGCTATACCAATATCATATCCCCGTCAGCCATTACCGCATGTAATGTACTGTTCTGTAGAAGGCTGACTTACTTCCTATATTAATATCATATCCCCGTCAGCCATTACCGCATGCAATGTACTGTTCCGTAGAAGGCTGACTTACATCCTATACCAATATCATATCCCCGTCAGCCATTACCGCATGTAATGTACTGTTCTGTAGAAGGCTGACTTACCAACTATACCAATATCATATCCCTGTCAGCCATTACCACATCCAATGTACTGTTCCGTAGAAGGCTGACTTACCAGCTATAGCAATATCATATCCCTGTCAGCCATTACCACATCCAATATACTGTTCCGTAGAAGGCTGACTTACATCCTATACCAATATCATATCCCCGTCAGCCATTACCGCATCCAATGTACTGTTCTGTAGAAGGCTGACTTACCAGCTATACCAATATTGTATCCCCGTCAGCTATTACCGCATCCAATGTACTGTTCTGTAGAAGGCTGACTTACATTCTATATCAATATCATATCCCCGTCAGCCATTACCGCATGCAATGTACTGTTCCGTAGAAGGCTGACTTACTAGCTATACCAATATCATATCCCCGTCAGCCATTACCGCATCCAATGTACTGTTCTGTAGAAGACTGACTTACTTCCTATACCAATATCATATCCCCGTTAGCCATTACCACATCCAATGTACTGTTCTGTAGAAGGCTGACTTACTTCCTATATTAATATCATATCCCCGTCAGCCATTACCGCATGCAATGTACTGTTCCGTAGAAGGCTGACTTACTAGCTATATCAATATCATATCCCCATCAGCCATTACCGCATGCAATGTACTATTCCGTAGAAGGCTGACTTACCAGCTATACCAATATCATATCCCCGTTAGCCATTACCGCATCCAATGTACTGTTCTATAGAAGGCTGACTTACCAGCTATACCAATATCATATCCCTGTCAGCCATTACCACATTCAATATACTGTTCCGTAGAAGGCTGACTTACTAGCTATACCAATATCATATCCCCGTCAGCCATTACCACATCCAATGTACTGTTCCGTAGAAGGCTGACTTACTAGCTATACCAATATTATATCCCCGTCAGCCATTACCGCATGTAATGTACTGTTCCGTAGAAGGCTGACTTACATCCTATACCAATATCATATCCCTGTCAGCCATTACCGCATGTAATATATTGTTCTGTAAAAGACTGACTTACATCCTATACCAATATCATATTCCCGTCAGCCATTACCACATGCAATGTACTGTTCCATAGAAGGCTGACTTACATCCTATACCAATATCATATCCCCGTCAGCCATTACCGCATGTAATGTACTGTTCTATAAAAGGCTGACTTACATTCTATACCAATATCATATCCCCATCAGCCATTACCGCATGTAATATACTGTTCTGTAGAAGGCTGACTTACCCACTATACCAATATTATATCCCCATCAGCCATTACCGCATGCAATATACTGTTCTGTAAAAGGCTGACTTACCCGCTATACCAATATCATATCCTCGTCAGCCATTACCGCATGCAATATACTGTTCTGTAGAAGGCTGACTTACATCCTATAGCAATATCATATCCCCGTCAGCTATTACCGCATCTAATATACTCTTCTATGGGTTTGACTTACCTCCTGAACCAAACGCAAAGCTTCATTATTCTTCAGCCTATTCTACTTCTCGACGAACTACTTACTTTCTTGACTTTCATTAGATGTCGTGCGCTTTTATTGTCTGTTCAGACTTGATACTTACCACAAACGCTCCATGTATCCAACCTGCATAAGCCGATCCGGAAGTCATTGTGAGCCAGAATTTTAGTAAGAAAGCCAATAGCAGCAAGCAGTTCTCGTACTCTCCACTGGGTTGTTGGGGATGGGAGAAGAATTTTCTTCCAGTGCAAGTTGATGGTCGTTCTGATGCAAGGTCAGCTGGCTAGGCCAGAATGACTAATGCGGGGTCACAGCGGCAAGAAGGAACTTATCATTGGTTCAACGAGGGCTCACTTGAGATATGTCACATCTACCCCAAAAGCATTGTTTCTGCATGTCCTCCTTAAAGGCAGTGACTCTTATTTCACTCACCCAACAGCATAACGTAACAAAATGCCTTTACCAAGTCACTTCATCTTTCGTCCTACTTTATGTTCTTCCGGAGCGGAACCATGGGCGGGTCACGGAATCCTTCGATATGACCTTCGGGCCGAGCTAATAGAGCCAATGCTGCCACCACGTCTCGCCGATTTCGTCACTTTTCCTGCGCCGCTCCCTCAAAGTACTCAAGGCTTGTATATCACAGCCAGATGTTCTAAGTGAAGGCCAGAGTGGTGTCGGAGGGCTGTGCACTTACTACAAATAGTATCTTCAGCCTTTTGAAGGGATAATGTGCATGTCAAAAGTGACAACGGCTTCGACCAACTTAGAGTCATCGCTGTCAGCCTTACGACTATTGCGTGCTCTCGTGTCGGGAAAGGCTTCAGCGGGAAGGCCAAGTAGCATTATTACGATCAACACGGGTTTCGCTACCTCAACCTGTTCTGTCGAGTCCGCAGCCCTTGGGTTTCTGGCTCAGATAGTTCAACAGCGCTAGATTATGGCATGGGAGAGCGAAGACGTTCAGATGTTGACAAAATACCCCATCTCAGTGGCATGCGACCGAGTCACCCACGACCGAATGATCTAGAACTCTGTATGGGCTTTACGCATCCTGTAAGATTCAAAGTAATTTTGACGGATATTACATGGCAAATCGGTACCTGCCAAGAATCTTCATTTACAGGCTAACTATATACGGACTAGTACAGGTGCTAGGTCTTGCGAAAAGTTTCGGGAGGAGTCTGGGGTAGGCAGGGTGGTTGTGCAAGATACTGTATTGTTTTCCAGCCCCACCGCCAAGAGCTTAGCGCGAGATGATTATTCAAGCAGTATTCAATACATTACAATCTGTATTTGACGAAACGTTGTAACAATCTGAATATTATCACGTAATAACTTATGAACTTATCAGTCGGACCACAAATCCAACGCAATGATGAAATGGTGAGCAGTCACATGACTCAGGAAGTTGGCTCGCAACAACTTCTTGAACGCCACTTGCTAGAAATATCGGTGCTTTACCACCGCCTACTAGAAGGAGAGCTGAAACATCAGGAAGCTTCTATGATATTACAGAAACTATATAATTACCCCTTCTCCCTTACCCGCCTTTAAGAAAGAGATTCGAAAATAAGAGAGTCAGAAATGCAGACCACCACAGGATACCTCACATGACAGAGAAAGCAATCATGGCAACTCTGCCGCTCATACTACCAAGTGCAATAGTACTGTTTTTGACCGTTGACGAG